TTACAGCCGTCTATATCCTCCAGCCTGTTGTTGACATAGTTTACAGCTTGTTACTTTTATATACATGTATTTATATATTGTATACATGCACAGTCTATTGTCCTGATGCATATTTTGTACGAAATAGTAGTGAATTCCGATGATGTGGCAGAGGTACTGTTCTAGAGCTGTCTAATATTTCGGAGTGAGGGTGAATCTGAACAGAGGACCGTAGGATGCAACCAATATTTTTAAGGCGACCCAGCTTTTTATGCATTAAACCCCAGGGCTTATATTGAGGAGAATGCTGTAACTTTCAAATTATGAAAAGTGATTTTAGACTAGCATCTGATAAGTGTTTCCACTCTCATTGTATACTACTCAAAAGAAGTTAAGAACACCCAATTTTTTCATACTGCTATTGTTAATCTGTAATGACATGAAAGATGAACTATAGTAACATGAAAAAATAGTACTTTTTTAAACAAGGTAGTAATGGAACAGACCGCCCAAATTCAGTAATGAAAGTTTTTCTTATAAAACTCACCAAAGACACTGAACACTGATCTGATTACACTTGATTATCTTTATACATTTATTGTTTTGAAAATACCAGTACCTTTTAATTGGGTAAGAAAATGTTTAAGAAAAACATGAACTGGAATTTGTTAGTTTCAAGAAATCCCTGACAATGTATGGCTTTAAACTTGCATGATACGGGTACATATTAACTGACGTCAACTGCATGAATCTGTTGACTCAGTACTATTTGAATGTCCATGTCCACAGATGGCCACACGTCTCTTCAAGTTACTATACTGTCCACGTTCATCAAAGTAGGAGGGGTATGGTGGGCTTGTCCAAGGGTCCTAATCCGCTGTGTCAGGATCTGCAGATCACGAGTTTGAGTACCAGATTTGATTCTAAATTTTACTGCACACTTGGGGCCAAATATCATCCTCTGAACAGATCTTGATAAACCCACAAACTAATTCTGAATCTGCACTGTTTAACACATTTAATTGGAATGAGTTATGGCACATATTTGAGTCTTAATATCATTTAGTGAATGAATTTTCAGCCAATCAAATAGGAATTTTTGGATAAAAAAATATTGAAATTGTGAGAAGATGAATTATCAGATAAAAGCAAATTGAGAGAATAATGAATTTGAAAATTATTTGTTTTAGGTAGATGAGTTTTGAGATAGGTGAAGTGGACAGAATATGGTACCTCTGTTTCTGGATCTGTCAATGTTTCATTATGTGTCCTGAAATTCTTCCATACATAACTGACAGACACTCTTCATACAGTGAGTTTTAGTAGCAGAATATATGTTCAAGGAGTCCTTGTTTCCTGTGTTTCATTGTGTCTGCACGAGCTACATGTGCATTTTATACTTGTATTCTGTGAGGTTTTATATACTTACTCTCGTCTTATGATCTGTGATAGCATTCCATGCTCTGTTTATGATCCCTCTTGATACTGACAACTGAGTCTGCCTAGTCATTCTCATTAAAATAAGATCTTAGTTCTTGCTAAGCTTAACAAAGCTAGCGATCACTTCATTTCCAAGGTTTATAAATAGTCTTTAACAAAACAAATATCCCTAGATTACATTTTATTTGTGGCAAAATGATTACGCTTATGTCTTTAGTTTCTTCTTGTATTTGTACACAAAATAGTAAAAAATATCTTATGCATAATTCTATTTTATCTTTGTTTTATTCTGTTGATTATGTAGTTCTCCCGTTCATCTATGTAATATGGTTACATGTTCTGGGTAGAAAAGTTGCTTGGTTCTTTGAATTTAATGATGATTCCTTTGTGGTTTTTATGATATGTTCATGGCTTAACTGTTTACTGTCTCTGTGGGAGGTAAGGGGTTGGATGTGTGGGTTCTTCATCCAATCAGGTGTCAGCTTTCTCAATGCCTCAGTCCATTTCTTCATATGCTCGTGATATAGTCAGAATCATACAATCGACTCAGATATTTTATGCATAAAAAAGGGTTTTGTTACTTTTATTTAACATTTTGATTTGGAAATTTGAATTGGAACAAAAAAAATATTATATAATACTTCCGTGTCAGAGAATAATCAGTATTGATTTTCTGCCGAAATAGATTCCATTTTTATGAGAGATACATCAATCAGATATGTGGTCTAAATGCTATGCAATGACACTAATTGGTTGATTAGAAAGATCACTGTTGTGGCCTCCCGTGGAGGAGTTGTCTTCGAGCGGAGAGATATCCTATGTCGGTAACAGACCAGGCAATTAGGTTCTAACTTTTTTGGCACATACTGAATGGGGAGTGTTTAATTAAACACCAGTTTGAACAGTATTTTAGTTACATCAGAACACTTCAGCATAATTTTGATAGAACCCACAGCCAATGGATCCTGGCATAGCTAAGGGAGGCAAATCTGAACAGCAACCTGTGTTACTTCAGACCACTCAAACCACCCAAGCCCTCCAACAATAAATGTATTCTTCTCTCATTGCAGTTAAACAGTAATATAAATGACTTATTACAATACGAGCATTCACAAATTCCTACATATCTGAATATTAAGAGGTCTATGCCTTGTATGTCCGATAAATATTTCGACTGTTCTTGGCTAAGTATGTTATTTGTCACCCTTCAATTATTTTTTCTTGAGCATAAACGATAGCATGTGTGGATGTGCTAAGGCCGTATAAAGTTATAAATACATAGTATATACTTGATACATTGACAGATCTGTGTTAATCTTGATATATGAACAATGTAGGATAACAATTGATGTGTGGAGATGTTTTAATTAAACTTTGAACTATACTACTCCAATGAAGAGAACAAACACCCAATTCTTTCATTTGAAAGAATCGTGTGTTCTTTAACTTCTTTTGAGTAGTATACAACATAATTAGTGAAAAGATTGTTAAATGAGGTGTTTGTATTCACTTTTGATGCATGTGTTTTTTACTTTAGTTCTGTTACGATTGCACTGATGGATTGATAGAATTACTGCTGTAACAATTGTAATAGGCCAAGATGCTTTGATGGAACTATCTTGTCTAGGAAAGTGGTGGTAAATATGGTATGTTTATTGTTATAGCACAAACTTTGTTGACATATTTCAATAAAGTGTACTCACAAGAGACGCATGTTGTTTTTCTTTTTCCTGACTGCCTACATGGTCCAGTGTTTGAGCGTCTGCTATATTAAGTGCAAAAATCTTGGAATACGTTAAACTTCATGTGACTTCACCTCTCCTCTTGTATTCTGTTTGATGTTTAAAACTGCACTCGGCAATATTCCAGTTAAATGATAGTACTTTGTAAGTAATGGAGTCTGGAACGGACAATCCAGTGATTGACATCATGAGTGAGTGAGTGAGTTAGGTTCAATGCCGCTTTGTACACTATTCCAGTTATATCACGGTGTGTCGGCTTAGTGTGGGAGGAAAGCCCGAAGTGTTGCAGGTCTTGGACGTTTTCTTCTTTAGTGAAACCCACGTGCACGGGTATGGTGCTGACAAACCTAGAAACATAATTGGGTCGAACCAGGATTCGAACCCACTATCATAGGTTTACCAAGAATCACAACTGGGAGACAAGCATAGGTTGCTGGGGGGGCTGTATTCTTACCAAGAATCACAACTGGGAGACAACCATAGGTTGCTGGGGGGCCTGTATTCTTACCAAGAATCACAACTGGGAGACAACCATAGGTTGCTGGGGGACCTGTTTTCTTACCAAGAATCACAACTGGGAGACAAGCATAGGTTGCTGGGGGGGCTGTATTCTTACCAGGAATCACAACTGGGAGACAACCATAGGTTGCTGGGGGGCCTGTATTCTTACCAGGAATCACAACTGGGAGACAACCATAGGTTGCTGGGGGGCCTGTATTCTTACCAGGAACCACAACTGGGAGACAACCATAGGTTGCTGGGGGGCCTGTATTCTTACCAGGAATCACAACTGGGAGACAACCATAGGTTGCTGGGGGGCCTGTATTCTTATCAGGAACCACAACTGGGAGACAAGCATAGGTTGCTGGGGGGCCTGTATTCTTACCAAGAATCACAACTGGGAGACAACCATAGCTTGCTGGGGACTTACATTCTTACCCGGAATCCCCACGGAAAGAAAAAGAAAGGGTTGTGCCACAGATGGATCAAGGTTGCAACTGTTTCAGGTGTTAAATCAAGAGCTGTTATACATACACCTGTAATAAAGTTTAGCACCACTTTTTTATTTCATATAGCCCCAAGGTCCATGTATCGTTTGGATATATCTACATATGAAATTGACATCATTTTGTTGTGCAAAGGTTTTTAACCTCATACCAAGGAAACAATATGGTCCAGGATAAATGGTATATGGACACGATATAATTGGCAAAATCACCAACCCACACATTGTCAAATTAGTAATGCCAAAGGAAACAAGGGGCGTTCAATAAGTTTTGCAACTTCAATATAAGACCTAGTTGCAGAATATCTTGTGCACTTTTATTTTTCAATATAATCTCCATTCACCTCAATACACTTATTCCATTTGTTCTACAAGCTTTTAATACCACTTTTATAGAAATCTGCAGATTGGCCCTCTAACCGCGCCTCTATGGCAGCCTTTATGTCCTCGTCATCCTGGAAGTGTCTTTCATGTAGGGCAGATTTCATTTGCTGGAACAGGAAATAGTTACTGGGGGCTAAGTCTGGGCTGTAGGGTGGGTGATTTAACTGTAGAGCCCAGACTTAGACTAATAGTGCTAGCCCACTGAGATACCATGCCGCAGTTTAACATGGATTAGACACTGTATACCAGTCTGAGCCGAACAGTCTTTGCGTTAGCCCCTTATTGCCGAATCCTGTGAGGATTCCATGTTAGAATAGGTCAAGAGGCAACTAACATGTCGGTTGTCATTCTGCCGCTCTCGGGACTGACCCTCTATCCACTACACCACGAGGCGGTCCAATGACAATGTAAGGTGTGGAATTAAATGATATTGAATGACAACACAGATGAACTGGTGTATTGGTTTATTATTGTATTTCTTGTTTATTTTGGTTATGTTGATGGAGCAGGGGTAGTCGTGAGCTGATTCTCAATGTGCTGAGTCTGCAGGATGAACAACACTGTGAGGAGCTGCAAAAAAGGAACGCATGTCAGTGTCAGATGGAAGCGCTCACTCATCACTGGTCTTCCGACTGATTACGGAAAGGGACGATTTGAGTGATTACAACGGCTGTGAGGCTCAGAGGTATATTTTCATTGGAAATATCTGATCGCGTTCGGATTGCGATAGTACCAAAGCCTAATAGTGCCACTTTGGTAGCATGTTTTTATGTTGAAAATTTCGGAATTTCGATATATATATATTTCGATTATATTTTCGTAATTTCACTTATTCCCTCGAAATTACGAGTTTTTTTCTCATTACTTCGATTAATTTCTCGTGATTTCAAATTTATTTCCCAAATTCAAAATTTCGAGAAATTGAAATAACGAGAACATAAATCTATATTTTGAGTTTTTGAACTAAACTTGAAATAACGAGTAAATAATCGAAGCAACGAGAAACTAATTGAAGCAAGGACAAAATACTGACATTTAGAGTTTTTGAGAAAAACTTGAAATAACGAGAAATATTCGAAGTAACGAGAATAAAATCGTTATTTCGAGAAATTAATTGAAATAAAGAGAAATTTCTACCAAAGTGGCTTTACGATACGGCACGAGTCTTCTTGCAGATTGCGGAACTAATGAGATTTTTTTGGTTTATAATTTAAACACTAGGCGTCCCAAATGATATGCACGTTTAAGTACGTTGTAACGACACCCGTTTAACTCCGTCAGTGCATGCAGCTTTTCCGTAACAAAATGCGACAAATGTAAAATCAAACTTCGACGAAAAATATAATTGTTGAGGCTTTGCCACATGTGACCTACCTCAGTGTAATAAGTCTTGAATTCACCCTTGCTGACATTTCCGTCATCTGTGAAACATACATGATGATACATTAGGGAGAAACATCAACCAGAAAATTAAATTCTCAGGGATTATAATGAAAAGTCGTAAATTCAGTTTATGTCCAAATGAATGTGCCTCTGTACAGACGAAGTATTTATAATAATTGACGTGCACAGTTGGTCGAACCCGAGGGGAGAAGTGTCCAGCGGTGTCCAATCTTGCTAGGGGTCACTATTGTGATCTCTTAATCCTAAAAATATAATCATTACACAAATATAATGTGAAATTGTTATAACTGGATATGAGATAGAGTTTAATCTTAGGACATACGCATGCATGCACATGCAAACACGGTAGGCCCTTTCAACAGTAGAACTAAATCATAAAAAAATATGTTTGGTTTATTTTCGCTGATAGAACAGCAGGACCCATAAAGCGATCTTAGCGATAAGACGATCGTAACTACATGTACCATACTTTAACATAGACTTATGACAATCGTAGCACTACCATCCCTTTGTGGAACGAGGCTCAGGTCAGTAACAGGACGATGTTTGTCACTGTAGTTGGTGTAATCAGAGATCATATACCGATCGGAAAATGATGGCTATTCGTGTTATATATCCAAACCATGTTGTGTCGAAGTTGAAGGGACCCCCCCCACCCCCACCCAAGCACCCACCCCTACAACACACATGCTATGTAAGTGTAATACAGTAAACTACGGTTATAACGAACTCAAAGGAACTACTTATTTTAGTTCGCTATAACCGTAATTCGTTATAAGCATATATACAGCATAACTACAGCATAAAGTCGGGACTAAAAAGTTCGTTATATCCGTTAGTTCGTTATAAGCATGTTTGTTATAACCGTAGTTTACTCTAATGTGTAACGCGACGTTAACCCCCACTGATTTCACTTCACCCATGATGGAGGAAGGTGATGTTGGATCTGACGTTTACAACTATGGCGAAACCCACGAGAAGGTGCTGACTAAGTCAGAATAGGATCAGATTCACAATCATAGGTTTCTGGCATGCCCAAGGGACGCAACTCTCCCCCGATGAAGGACATAGGTCCTCACATACAGCAAGCTGTAATGCCGCGGAAGCCCCTAGGTTTCAAGAAGATGGTATTGTGAGCTACCGTTTTGGTCCATTCTGTTGTAGAGGGCGTCCAGGTCGGAAGACGTCACTATACCGCTCTGGTCGTCGTCGTACTCCAGAAACAGGCCGTGTCCGACGATGTTGAGAGTAGGCTCCGTCATCCCCCAGTGGAAGTCGAACTCGACCCGGGTAACTTCACCGTCTCCTAGGAACCAACACAGATGATGGACACACGTCAAAGAGCCGTAAATGTCTATACATATTAGATTGTCTACCTGCTCAAGGAGCGAGGGTATACATATTAGATTGTCTACCTGCTCATGAACGAGGGTATACACATATCATTAGATTGTCTATCTGCACAAGGAGCGAGGGTATACATATTAGATTGTCTACCTGCTCAAGGAGCGAGGGTACACATACCATTAGATTGTCTATCTGCTCAAGGAGCGAGGGTACACATACCATTAGATTGTCTATCTGCTCAAGGAGCGAGGGTACACATACCATTAGATTGTCTATCTGCTCAAGGAGCGAGGGTATACATATTAGATTGTCTACCTGCTCAAGGAGCGAGGGTATACATATTAGATTGTCTACCTGATCATGAACGAGGGTATACACATATCATTAGATTGTCTATCTGCACAAGGAGCGAGGGTATACATATTAGATTGTCTATCTGCTCAAGGAGCGAGGGTATACATATTAGATTGTCTATCTGCTCAAGGAGCGAGGGTATACATATTACATTGTCTATCTGCTCAAGGAGCGAGGGTACACATATTAGATTGTCTATCTGCTCAAGGAGCGAGGGTATACATATTAGATTGTCTATCTGCTCAAGGAGCGAGGGTATACATTATGATATTAGATTGTCTATCTGCACAAGGAGCGAGGGTACACATACCATTAGATTGTCTATCTGCTCAAGGAGCGAGGGTACACATACCATTAGATTGTCTATCTGCTCAAGGAGCGAGGGTATACATATTAGATTGTCTATCTGCTCAAGGAGCGAGGGTATACATATTAGATTGTCTATCTGCTCAAGGAGCGAGGGTATACATATTAGATTGTCTATCTGCTCAAGGAGCGAGGGTATACATATTAGATTGTCTATCTGCTCAAGGAGCGAGGGTATACATATTAGATTGTCTATCTGCTCAAGGAGCAAGGGTATACATATTAGATTGTCTATCTGCTCAAGGAGCGAGGGTATACATATTAGATTGTCTATCTGCTCAAGGAGCGAGGGTATACATATTAGATTGTCTATCTGCTCAAGGAGCGAGGGTATACATATTAGATTGTCTATCTGCTCAAGGAGCAAGGGTACACATATTAGATTGTCTATCTGCTCAAGGAGCGAGGGTATACATATTAGATTTTCTATCTGCTCAAGGAGCGAGGGTACACATATTAGATTGTCTATCTGCTCAAGGAGCGAGGATTTACATATTAGATTTTCTATCTGCTCAAGGAGCGAGGGTACACATATTATTAGATTGTCTATCTGCTCAAGGAGCGAGGGTACACATATTATTAGATTGTCTATCTGCTCAAGGAGCGAGGGTATACATATTAGATTGTCTATCTGCTCAAGGAGCGAGGGTATACATATTAGATTGTCTATCTGCTCAAGGAGCGAGGGTATACACATACCATTAGATTGTCTATCTGCTCATGGAGCGAGGGTATACATACCATTAGATTGTCTATCTGCTCAAGGGGCGAGGGTATACATATTAGATTGTCTATCTGCTCAAGGAGCGAGGGTACACATATTAGATAGTCTATCTGCTCAAGGAGCGAGGGTATACATATTAGATTTTCTATCTGCTCAAGGAGCGAGGGTATACATATTAGATTGTCTATCTGCTCAAGGAGCGAGGGTACACATATTACATTGTCTATCTGCTCAAGGAGCGAGGGTACACATATTAGATTGTCTATCTGCTCAAGGAGCGAGGGTATACATATTAGATTGTCTATCTGCTCAAGGAGCGAGGGTACACATATTATTAGATTGTCTATCTGCTCAAGGAGCGAGGGTATACATATTAGATTTTCTATCTGCTCAAGGAGCGAGGGTATACATATTAGATTATCTATCTGCTCAAGGAGCGAGGGTACACATATTAGATTTTCTATCTGCTCAAGGAGCGAGGGTACACATATTAGATTGTCTATCTGCTCAAGGAGCGAGGGTACACATATTATTAGATTGTCTATCTGCTCAAGGAGCGAGGGTATACATATTAGATTTTCTATCTGCTCAAGGAGCGAGGGTATACATATTAGATTGTCTATCTGCTCAAGGAGCGAGGGTACACATATTATTAGATTGTCTATCTGCTCATGGAGCGAGGGTATACATACCATTAGATTGTCTATCTGCTCATGGAGCAAGGGTATACATATTATATTATATTATATATCTACTCAAGGAGCGAGGGTACACATATTATTAGATAGTCTATCCGCTTAAGGGGCAAAAGTACACTCACTGTCAGACTGTCTATCTGCTCATGGTGTGAGAGTACACTTACTGTCAGATTGTCTATCTGCTCAAGGAGCGAGGGTACACATATTATTAGATTGTCTATCTGCTCATGGAGCGAGGGTACACATACCATTAGATTGTCTATCTGCTCATGGAGCAAGGGTATACATATATTATTATATTATATATCTACTCAAGGAGCGAGGGTACACATATTATTAGATAGTCTATCCGCTTAAGGGGCAAAAGTACACTCACTGTCAGACTGTCTATCTGCTCATGGTGTGAGAGTACACTTACTGTCAGATTGTCTATCTGCTCAAGGTGCGAGGGTACACATATTATTAGATTGTCTATCTGCTCATGGAGCGAGGGTATACATACCATTAGATTGTCTATCTGCTCATGGAGCAAGGGTATACATATTATATTACATTATATATCTACTCAAGGAGCGAGGGTACACATATTATTAGATAGTCTATCCGCTTAAGGGGCAAAAGTACACTCACTGTCAGACTGTCTATCTGCTCAAGGAGCGAGGGTACACATATTATTAGATAGTCTATCCGCTTAAGGGGCAAAAGTACACTCACTGTCAGACTGTCTATCTGCTCATGGTGTGAGAGTACACTTACTGTCAGATTGTCTATCTGCTCAAGGAGCGAGGGTATACATATTAGATTTTCTATCTGCTCAAGGAGCGAGGGTATACATATTAGATTGTCTATCTGCTCAAGGAGCGAGGGTACACATATTATTAGATTGTCTATCCGCTCATGGAGCGAGGGTATACATACCATTAGATTGTCTATCTGCTCATGGAGCAAGGGTTTACATATTATATTATATTATATATCTACTCAAGGAGCGAGGGTACACATATTATTAGATAGTCTATCCGCTTAAGGGGCAAAAGTACACTCACTGTCAGACTGTCTATCTGCTCATGGTGTGAGAGTACACTCACTGTCAGACTGTCTATCTGCTCATGGTGTGAGAGTACACTCACTGTCAGACTGTCTATCTGCTCATGGTGTGAGAGTACACTTACTGTCAGACTGTCTATCTGCTCATGGTGCGAGAGTACACTCACTGTCAGACTGTCTATCTGCTCATGGTGTGAGAGTACACTCACTGTCAGACTGTCTATCTGCTCATGGTGTGAAAGTACACTCACTGTCAGACTGTCTATCTGCTCATGTTGTGAGAGTACACTTACTGTCTATCTGCTCATGGTGTGCGAGTACACTCACTGTCAGACTGTCTATCTGCTCATGGTGTGAGAATACACTCACTGTCAGACTGTCTATCTGCTCATGGTGTGAGAGTACACTCACTGTCAGACTGTCTATCTGCTCATGGTGTGAGAATACACTTACTGTCAGACTGTCTATCTTCTCATGGTGTGAGAGTACACTGACTGTCAGACTGTCTATCTGCTCATGGTGTGAGAGTACACTCACTGTCAGACTGTCTATGTGCTCATGGTGTGAGAGTACACTCACTGTCAGACTGTCTATCTGCTCATGTTGTGAGAGTACACTTACTGTCAGACTGTCTATCTGCTCATGTTGTGAGAGTACACTCACTGTCAGACCGTCTATCTGCTCATGGTGTGCGAGTACACTCACTGTCAGACTGTCTATCTGCTCATGGTGTGAGAATACACTCACTGTCAGACTGTCTATCTGCTCATGTTGTGAGAGTACACTTACTGTCAGACTGTCTATCTGCTCATGGTGTGAGAGTACACTCACTGTCAGACTGTCTATGTGCTCATGGTGTGAGAGTACACTCACTGTCAGACTGTCTATCTGCTCATGGTGTGAGAGTACACTCACTGTCAGACTGTCTATGTGCTCATGGTGTGAGAGTACACTCACTGTCAGACTGTCTATCTGCTCATGGTGTGAGAGTACACTCACTGTCAGACTGTCTATCTGCTCATGTTGTGAGAGTACACTCACTGTCAGACTGTCTATCTGCTCATGGTGTGCGAGTACACTCACTGTCAGACTGTCTATCTGCTCATGGTGTGAGAATACACTGACTGTCAGACTGTCTATCTGCTCATGGTGTGAGAGTACACTCACTGTCAGACTGTCTATCTGCTCATGGTGTGAGAGTACACTCACTGTCAGACTGTCTATCTGCTCATGGTGTGAGAGTACACTCACTGTCAGACTGTCTATCTGCTCATGGTGTGAGAGTACACTCACTGTCAGACTGTCTATCTGCTCATGGTGTGAGAGTACACTCACTGTCAGACTGTCTATCTGCTCATGGTGTGAGAGTACACTGACTGTCAGACTGTCTATGTGCTCATGGTGTGAGAGTACACTCACTGTCAGACTGTCTATCTGCTCATGTTGTGAGAGTACACTCACTGTCAGACTGTCTATCTGCTCATGGTGTGAGAGTACACTCACTGTCAGACTGTCTATCTGCTCATGGTGTGAGAATACACTCACTGTCGGATTGTCTATCTGCTCATGGTGTGAGAGTACACTCACTGTCAGACTGTCTATCTGCTCATGGTGTGAGAGTACACTCACTGTCAGACTGTCTATCTGCTCATGGTGTGAAAGTACACTCACTGTCAGACTGTCTATCTGCTCATGTTGTGAGAGTACACTTACTGTCTATCTGCTCATGGTGTGAGAGTACACTCACTGTCAGACTGTCTATCTGCTCAT